GTTCATTTTTGACCACCTTTAATATTAACAAAATTACCTTTCAAAAGTAGGTCAGGTGGTTTTTTTGTGAAGTACGGTAATTTAAATGGATAGATTTTACTTAATATGCATAGTAAAATCTAAATACATGCATAACTACTGCCACATACCGTATTCTTGTTAGGGTGCAGTCACACCATGTCCATCTCGTGTGACACACTCCGGGTAAGTGTTACATTTTATCAATTTTTGGCAAAATAATGCTTCTACTCGATGAGGTACACAGTGAACGTTTAAATCATCTTTTGGACAGTTTGAATTGCTAGTATGCGCTTGGTGGAACCGTGATATGGTGTTGCCCGTCGAAGCCTATATTCGCAAATTGCCCTCCTGAGCCAAAACCGCCTTGTTGGATCCAATGTTCCAATCGCTCTAACGCTCAAAAGAGCAAAGAACAAATCAAAACAGATGTGGCTTTTTGGGAGTTTTACTCGAAGGACTTGATATAATATGGGTTCAATCGTAACGAGATGGAAACTATATTGCGTACAGCTGGATTAAACGGATCGACCGATCGATCGAGTCATGTTGAAAATGTCTTTAAATGACATTGTTGTGACCGAATGCTTCAAAAGTCCATCTCTTTTTACTAAATTGCCATCCAAACTAGACGTCCGTGCCAGAAGTATTGCATACAGAATATAGTTGACCTGTTGGATCCGTCATGGTTCCGAAATGCCATTTTTCACGGCCGTCGATACGTTCTGACGCGAAATTCCTGACAAGTTGCTGGTACTCCAGATAATTTACATCTCATCGCAACTGAATGGACGAAGCCTTTTACAAACTTGACTGTTCTCAATCTTGCTTGTGACTAGGTAGTTTTCGACTCTTCGTTTTGTTCTTCTTGACGATAAAGAAATCTCACGTATCATGACTTTTTTGACAAACTTGTTTTTAGTACTAATTGACTCACCAGAATACGATTACTTGGTCTCAAGTACGAGGTTCGTGCTACCACATTAACTTGTCTGCATGCTAGTATAGTACAAACGATAAAAGAGCTAGTTGTTTTAGTAAATTATTCACATAAGATGAAATGTTTGCAGCTGATAACAATTTGTAAACAAAGTTTTGCAGAAAACACTTCTGGAGAATGAAGGCCCAGAGGAGGTCACTGTTTGCCTGGAAGCGCTTGTAATACATCTCCAAAAAGTCTCAATCAAACGTTGGTAGAACCATAACATACTCTTACAGAGCTCAATAAACGGACATCGCTTCGGAATTTCACTGATCCATCTTCGACAACGACATAAAAAGCATCTTTTGAAGATGAGACCTTCAAGTGCCATAGACTCAATTAAACTGTAAATCGAGCGACGACACATCTTGCAAGCTATCGCAAAGTAATAAAGTCGTTTTCGAGACCGACGTGTGGTCCGTAAATAAACGAGTTTGCCAAAATAAATGTCCTGATGTTTAGATTCCCTGACAAGGCTTTGATCTACCAGGATACCAATTGGCCCTTTTCCAGGATCGATAACGACCAACAACGTGACTGAAACAGTGAAAATTCGATATTAAACAGTGAAAATCGCAAAATTAGAGCGCGCCTTTATATTCGCAAGAATTGATGAACATATACTTCATTGATTGCGCTAGATGGTGCTGATCACCGCTGCGATACCCGCGATTGGTAAAGCTGTTTGTGCTCTAAATATACAATTCCTGCGTCTCTACCTTCCATTCAGCCGGGAGATTAAAAAAGTCGAGCTACCACAAAGAGCCAACCTACAGACATCACGCGGATGCTGTCGGGTCCAAAAAGGCACCGGTTGGCCTGCTGAACTCCCGATTAAATTGAGCCTTGAAAGGGTCAAGGAATTATGATAAGCACTTGAGAGCAAGACGCTCTTAGAACGCGGTACATATTGGGTAGGTTGGCTGATCAATAATGATTACGATCGAACACGTTCCACTCAATCACTATGTGCGTACCAGATTTCTACTTCGTGCTGCTATGGTTCTACTCGTCGACGTCTTGGCAGCGCTCTCTGTTTTCTAGAGCAATGAACGGATGCAATTGATCGCCAACTAAGGGAGCAAGATTTACTACCACAAGAAAAAGCTAAGAGAGGTTTAGTAGAGCTCTGTCTCCAATCAGCGATCCACTTCTACAATTCATCTTGTCAACCACACCAGTGAAAAAGGGCTTCTTGTTGTCAAGCCTCCCCAGAATCCCTGACCAAGCATCCCTCGTAGCTCCAAGATGATCATATGGTTTTTGCACTGGTGGTACCCCAAGAGCACCAAAAATGAGTGTGGACCAAGTAATACAGAGCGCGCGCTCGAAGGCAAGGAAATATCATAACTTAATCCTCTCCAAAACTGAATTCATGCATGGCCCCTATCCTCCGTTTAAAAGCTCACGCAAGACACGAGCGACATTGAAATAAATATGACCATTTGGAAACCTTACTTATGGGAACTGATTCGATTTGGGTTTGATCGCAAAGAAAAGCACAGCTCGAACAGCTGATGGTATGGTAACTTATGGTTCAATACGACAAATTTTGAGAATTTTCCCGAAAGCACATTTCTTTTCGCCTCAATTGCGTACTAAACTAGACGTCCGTGCTGCCAAAATCACTGCATACAAAGCACAGTTCGACCCGTTGAAACTCCATCGTGATTATGTCAATTCACGATTGGAAGTATCTACTAACAGAGTGGGTCAAGTGTCCCTGTACTCCGGAGCGGGTGAGTCAACTCCTTAAAAGCGCTCATATACAACCTAAACGAGTGCAGACATCTACAACAAATTCAAATCAGAGCAAAGCGTTCCACTTTCTACAAACAACGCGATTTACTAGTCTATACGCAGTGATGCGAAGTTCCTGATCAAGTTGCTGGTCAGGCTTTTACTACTTCAGATGATTCAAATCTCATCGCAGCTGATAGGACGAATCCTTTTACAGATTTTGACTTGCTCGTGACTATTCGTTTTGTTCTTGACAGTTAAGAAATCTCACGTGTCATGACATATTTTGACAAACTTGTTTTTAGCACTAATTGACTCACCAAGATATGATAACTTGGTCTCAAGGGTGGGGTTCATGCTACCACAATAAGTTTGGCTTAGATTTCTGCATGCTAGTATAGCTGCTCAGAATACAATAGTGTCTGTTGTTTTGGTAAAATATTCTCGTAAGATGAAATGATAACAATTCTGGCGCTTAAAGCGGTTATGTTCGCCTGGAGGCGTTCAGTAGCTACATAAATGCGCTTGTGATACAATTTCAAAATTTCAACGTTGGTGGATGCACCGACTCTCAAATAGCTCTATAAAGACAGTTAATCTCTGAAGCTATAGTCAACAAATTGACACAAGCAGAACGGACATTTAAAGCAAAGCTTATGACACCTTGGTCCGATTTATGCGTGGGTGCAATTATCAAACCTGCAACCCTGCTAAGAAAAGAAGCATAGGTAAGGATACGTCCAAAATTTCTCTGGCTCTGCATAGCAACGTCAGTGGTATACGTTTTGTGACAACAGCGCATTCAAAATTGCGCATGTACAGTTTTAGATCTTATCAAATTTCTTCTGGATCTTTGCTCCGGATTTCTATCTTATCCAATCTGCAGAACAGTGAGGACAGCATACATCGTGAAAATTTTTGATGAACCATGCGGGAATTATTCATTTTCCAATCCTCCAAGTCATACTCACAACTCATTTCTGCAACAAGTTACATCTCAACCACTATGCGCGTACCAGATTTCTCCTTCCTGCTGCATCTTCTTCTTGCTATGGTTCTACTCGTCGACGTCTTGGCAGCGCTCTCCACCATGCCTCAGCCTCTTCAGTACAGTAACCATGGTGCAACCGATCACCAACTAAGGGCGCAAGATTCACAAGCACAAATAGCAGTGATTGGTGACGAAGAGAGGGTGACGTTTAGTAGAGCACTGTCTCCAGTCAGCGACTCACTTCGCAAAGCATTACCGACGAATTTCAGGTCGTCAAGCCTCCCAAGCCTCCCTGGCCAGCAACATACTAGTACTTCAGCGAATCCCGTGGTGATCCAAGACATGGATGTATATTCCCAGTTTTTGGCGCTGGTAGAACCCCTACAGAATCGGCGACAAACCGCTCATGCGGAGCTGAACGCTTATATCAATGCTGCTGCCTCAACACAATTGAGTCTTCATACTGGGTCGCGCCCCAGCATTTCGGACCCCTATCATCTAATAGTTCTCTCCTCCACTTTAAGGATCAAGACAGACAAGGACGACATTAAATCAAATGTGGACAATTGGATTCGTCACTTACGGGTTTTGGTTCGATTTGGGTTTACTCGCTTAGAGGTGGAAAAAATATTAGAAAAAGCGCAACTCAACGATGCGATGAGAGAAAATCTTTTGAAGCCATACAAGAAAGCTATAACTAAAGATTCTATAAAAGAATCTTTGGCAATTTTGATCGCCTTCTCCGACTGCGTTTCAATTAGTACGAAATTGCGTTCCAACCTAGACATCCGTGCTGCCAAAGTTGTTGCTTACAGAGCACAACTCAAAATGACTTCAGACGGTGTTAATTCGTATGACGAGTGGAATTTTCTACTATCAGCGTTCGTCAAACGTCTCTACACTCCGAATCGAGTGCGTGAAATCCTTGTATCTACTGATGTACAACAGGAAGAAGTGGAGGTAATAATGGGCTTATATGCCAAGCTCCTAGAAAAGACTGATATGCAAACACCAGCGTAAATAGTCAAACGCCGTCGATACGCAGCAAAACGAAATGCCTGATCAAGATGCTGGTCTGGCTTTTCTACTACAGATGATTCACATATCATCGCAGCTGGAAGGAAAAGCCTTTTCAGCTTGACGATCATCAATTTTGCATATGACTAGACATAAGAAATCTCATGTGTCCTACATATTTGAAAAAAGTTGTTTTTCGAAGAATTCTAACAATAATTCTGTCTCTATCCCCGTTATATGAAATCTTGCAACTAATATTAAATTCGTTAGGAAACTTTTGAAGACAACATTGCCAAGGCCTTACTGTTCGCCTGGTTGCAATCACTGCATACGAGAATGCGCCTCCAATTGTCACAACCAAACCTTGGTGAAGCATCACATACCTTCATGAAGCGACACCGTTTCGGATAATCACTGATCTATCATTCGACAACGACTTAAAGAACATCTCTTGGAGATGAGACCTTAAAATACCATAGACTTAATTTTACATCAAAATGAGCGACAACACATCTTGCAAGCTATCACAGAGCAAAATTGTCGCTTGCTAAAATTTGTTGAGTATAAGGCTAAAACCAACGGGAATATATTTAGGTCGCTAACCTGTGCTACATCTAAGCCTTCCTTCTAAATACTTCTAGAAGCTTCTACAAGCAATCTCATCTATCAAAACTAATGAGCGACTCTTATCATATTCGTAATTACGTCCGTAATTAGAAGTCGGAACCGACGTGCTTAAGCCGTCGTATGAAACCGCGGTCACATAACTGCCGTATCGGGCCATTTAGCGGTGCAATCTCAACATGACGACTCACCGCTTATGTTGGTTATGCTTGGTTGCCGACTTGGTCTAGATTCCGGGATTTTCATGCAAATACTGCAGTCTCTTGGTTCCGAGTGCTTTCGTCAGCATATCTGCAAGCTGATACTTCGTGTCAATATAGTCAATTTCAAATCGTCCTTTTTACACGTTTTTACGGATGCAATGGTGCTTGGTATCCACATGTTTCGTCCTCGCATGGGATCCGGCGTTATTGATCAATGCGAATGCTCCTTGGTTATCTCCCCACACCTTCGTGCCTCCAACTTGCTCATGATCCATGCCCTTTAGCATTGCCCGCGTCCAAAGAACTTTTTGTGTGCACAGACTGAGAGCCATATACTCAGCCTCAGCTGAGCTGAGAGCAACAGTCCGCTGGTACTTTGACTTGAATACTACGGGCGTACTTATCATCACTCCTGATACCGAACGTCTGTCATCGGTGTTGATGCCCAATCTGCATCTGAGTACGCCTTGACTTTACTGCCTCTGGAGACGACCCCGGATTGGCGCGTATTCTTTAGATAGCGTAATACGCGAATAGCAACATGCTGTGTGACAACATGTCACAGATTGTGTAGCGGGGGTTATT